TGAAGCAAGAGGATTGCTTGAGCCCAGGAGTTTGAGGTTGCAGTGAGCTACCATGACACCACTACACTCCAGCCAGGGCAACAGAGTGAGACCCTGTCTCAAAAACAAACAAACAAACAAACAAAAAAAGTCATCAGCACCTGAAATAATTATCCCATAAGACTAGTTTATGCTAAAAGCACACCCATACCAGCCCCGACCACCCTAGGTCAGCAATGTCTGCTAATTTCTACATGGGATGGATCCCAAACCTAACCTGGGTGACCTTCTGGAAGCGCCTTAATCTCACTGTTCCCTGGATTCCCGTCTGTAAAATGGGTCTGCCGGCCTCCACAGCCCGTGCCCTTACCCATGATAATTACCTGACTTCCCCACAGCTACAAAAGTCGCAATAAATCGTTGCCCACACCTCAAGCACTACGAACGAGACCCAGGAAGCTAGACCACTCTACGAACGGTCTTGGAGACTGGAATTGCGGAGTCGAGAACCCAGGGCGCCAGGATACAAGTCTCAGCCCCTCCCTGCCACTATCTCCCCGGCTCGAGCAATAAGCCTGGTGGCCGCCTAGCGCGAGCGTGCAGGGGACTTGGCACGCAACAGGGCCCCGTTCCCGGCACTGTCGGGCATACCGGGAGGCCTGGCCCCGCCATGGGCCGGGTATTCAAGGTCCCTCTGGGCAAGCAGCCCCCAGTGCACCGATTCCGTGAAAAGCAGAAGGACACGCCCCGTGGGAGGCCCCCCGGCTGGGGAAGAATCCCCTCAGTCCTCTCTCGGCCTCCGTACCTGACCGGAGCCGCCTCCCCCGGCCGCCACCACGGCGCTGCCGGCCCCGTCCGCCTCCTGCGCCGCCGCCATCTTCCCGCTCCGGGTCCCCGCCCCCGCCGCCAGCCCCGCCCCGTCCCCGACGGCACTAGCGCGATCGCGCGAGATTTCACACTTTGCCCGACCCGCCGGGCCACCGTATCGGGCAAGAGCGCCTCAGCCACGCCTCCCGGGAGGGCCACTTCCGGCTATGAAAGGGCTAACTTGGCCACCGTACTCTTCCTCTGCCCCGCATCCCATTTCTTTGCACTTAGTACAAACGCTGCGTGCTTAGAACTGCCGGGACTTACTCGGCCAATATGCGCTTCCCACGAGTTCTGTTCCTTCCTCCCCCTCGAGTTAACCCGACTTTTTGAGTTAAGTGAGCCTTGCAGGCCATCGTGCCCGCTTCACCCCGCCAGTTCGAGTCCTTTCAGTTCCATGTTTCTTGAGCTTTTCCGGCCACCGTAACGCTTCAAAACGCCCCGCTTGAATACGCCCCTCCTACGTTAAAGGAGCTTTTCTGGACACTGTACTCGGACTCAGGAGTGAAGGCCCTTTGCCCAGTGCCCTCGTTTTCTGACTCCGCTTCCTAACGCAACCCTTTCCTCCAACAAGTCCCCTAAGCTTACAATCTTTCTGTACACTGAGAGTTCCTATTGCAGGGTTCTCACGGCCACAGCACCTCTGAATGAGACCCTGTCGATCACCTCACCAAGCCTTGGGCAGCGTTGTTTAGTACGCATTCGCGTATCCCTAGTGGTCTTTGCTTTCTAGGAAATCTTGCAGCCCTGGACTAGGCTCCATGGGCTCTGAGAGGTCCCTAATTTTTCATTAGCTATGTGTCTTCTTACAGATCCAAGCCAGGACACGTGCTGAAAGACCCCTGGCCGGGAGAGGGTGTTATGGAGGCCCAGGGAGGACAGGAGACGCCCAGCGATTGTTAAACCTTTACCAATGAATTGGGTGGAGCTCTGGCCTGGTTTCAAACCCTTGTTGTGCTATTGCCGGCTGAACCACTGTACAAGTGACATCTCTTTGAACTTCAGTTTCTTCCTCTTTTATAAACTAGATATTATAATAGTTCCCCTCCCTCTTTTACCCCGCTGAATTATTGGGAAGACCGAGTAAGATTGCAAATGTAGTCCGGGCGCGGTGGCTCACGCCTGTAATCCTAGCACTCTGGGAGGCCGAGGCAGGAGGATTGCTTGAGCTCAGGAGTTGGAGACCAGCCTGAGCAAGAGGGAGACCCCGTCTCTACTATAAATAGAAAAATTAGCCAGGCTTGGTAGTGTGCGTCTGTAATCCCAGCTACTCAGGAGGCTGAGGTAGGAGAATCGCTTGAGCCCAACCAAGACTTTGAGGCTGCTGTGAGCTAGGCTGATGCCACTGCACTCAGATGACAGAGTGAGACTCTGTCTCAAAAAAAAAAAAAAAAAAAACCGCAAATGTAAAGCGTCAGACTCCAGGCCTCACACTAGCGTGGTGCGCTGTTATTATGAACACTGGGGTCAGCAATGTCTGGTTCTCATGACCACCTGGAAGGGACAGCAGGCTTTGCATTGGGATATTCTAAATATTTAATTGTCATTTTATTTATTTAGAGACAGGTTCATGCTCTGTCGCTGGGGCTAGAGTGCAGTCGTGTCATCATAGCTC